TAACCAACATGATTTGAACAACTAGTCTACTTAGAATATGTCTTATAAAACAACATGCTTTCTACTCGAATATGTTCAAAGGGACGGGCGCCTTTTGGAGAACTCTAGATTCATTTGTGTCCAACGTCCTAAATAGTTAGAACAAATGAACATGTTTGGGTAACTAAGTATTTAGATATTTCACACAATTTAAACAATTTCAAGGGCACCCCCTGGGCTAGTTCCGAAAATAAAATTTTCCTGATGAAAAAGTTCAAATAATTCCAAAATGCGAACTGCTTATTTTGATCAAAATGTTGGAGGTCCTGAACAACATATCTGTTCAAATAATCCAAGTTATGTCCAGGGCCCTTCCTGGGCCCATTGTAGAATATTTAAAGAATCTGGGTGTCTCGAATTCAAACAATTCGAAATTATGGAATGTACAAATGTGTTTCTTAGCGCATTATTTGTTGGAGGCTCGGAACAAAAACGTTTAAGTTATTTAGATAGTTCTACGAATTTGACTACGTGTGCTATTCAATTTGTTGGAGCCCTGAAAAAGACATATCCTGGGCCCTCCCTGGGCCCGTGCGGAATACTCAAAGAAGATAAACCTTCAATCCTTTTGGCGGCCCCTGAGAAAGCATTATAAAAATGTGTTTTGTTCAAATTCTGGAGGCATCCTTTTTAAAATATGAAAATTGAATCATTTCTAGGGTTCTCCCTGGGCCAGTTCCATTCTGTTTAAACAACCTAAAACATCATATAATTTAAGTTTTTTTTTTTTTTTTTTTTTTTTTAAATTTCTGGAGGCCTCCAAAAACCAACAAAGAATCCAGGGTTCTCCCTGGGCCAGTTCCAGGATATTTAAAAAAATGTTTGAAACATGTCAAATAATCTAAAATTATTTATCTTCTAATTTTTAAATTTCTGGAGGCCTCCATTTTTTGTACAAAAACAATAATTAAATTCCAGGGTTCTCCCTGGCCAGTTCCCGGATATTTAAAAAATATAGAGTTTGTTTTTGTAGTTATTTGTTCTTAAATTTGTAGAGGCGTCAAAAAAAAGTTTTCCCTGGCCAGTTCCGGATATTCAGCAAGTTTGAAAAAAAAACAAGCAACACAATAAACATTCATTTATTAAAATTCCTCAACTTTCTGGAGGCCTCCATTTTTTATTTTTTTGAGTAATATCCCGGGTTCTCCCTGGGCCAGTTCCAGGATATTGGAAAAAGTTGAAAAACATGAATAATTTGAATAATTAAAAAGATAATAAGTCTTTACATTTAATATATATTCTTTTAATTTCTGGAGGCCTCCAAAAAAAATGAAAAAATAGTTTCCCGGGTTCTCTCTGGGCCAGTTCCGGGATATTTAAAAAAATAAAAAAAAACATCAACAAAAATCAATAATTCAAATCATTTTTTTTTTTTTTTACATTTCTGGAGGCCTCCAAAAAATTCAAATTACAAAATATAAATAGTTTCCCGGGTTCTCTCTGGGCCAGTTCCAGGATATTTAAAAAATTTGAAAAATCAAATAATTTCAATAATTCAATAAGAAAAAAAAAAAAACAATCTGGAGGCCTCCAAAAAAAAGTTTCCCGGGTTCTCTCTGGGCCAGTTCCAGGATATGTAAAAAAATCAATATTAAAAAAATATTGAAATTCAAATAATATAAATATTTATATTTTTTAATTCTATTGAACTATCTGGAGGCCTCCATTTTTTTTTAAAAAAAATATAAATAGTTTCCCGGGTTCTCTCTGGGCCAGTTCCAGGATATTTGAAAAATTCAAAACAAGTCAAATAATTTAAATAATTCAATAAAATAAATAAATAAAAAAAAAGAAAAAAAACCAACCTGGAGGCCTTCAAAAAAAAGTTTCCCGGGTTCTCTCTGGGCCAGTTCCAGGATACTTAAAACATTAAAAAAAAATCAAATAATTTAAACATTTAAAAAAAATATAAATAGTTTCCTGGGTTCTCTCTGGGTTAGTTCCAGGATATTTAAAAAATTAAAAAAATCAAATGATTTAAACAATGCAAATAACTTTAAATATTAATATTTTTTTTAAAAAAAATCTGGAGGCCTCCAAAAGTTTAAAATTAAAAAACAAAATATAAATAGTTTTCTGGGTTCTCCCTGGGCCAGTTCCAGGATATTTAAAAAATCAATAAAAAATCAATTAATTTAGAAAAATCAAATAATTCATTTTTTTTTTTAAACTTATGGAGGCCTCCAAACATTTCAATTTAAACAATATAAATAGTTTCCTGGGTTCTCCCTGGGCCAGTTCCAGGATATTTACAACATTAAAAAAGTCAAATAATTTAAAAAAAAAAACAAATAATTTAAATATATATATATATATATTTTTTTTTAAATTTCTGGAGGCCTCCAACAATTTAAAAAAAATAAAAAAAATCAATTAATTTAAACAATTCAATTAATTTAAATATTTATTTTTTTTTTCAAATTTATGGAGGCCTCCATTTTTAAAAAAAAAAAATGAAAAATATGAATAGTTTCCTGGGTTCTCCCTGGGCCAGTTCCAGGATATTTAAAAAAAATGAAAAATTCAATTAATTGAAAAAAATCAAATAATTTCAATATTTATATTTTTTAATTTTTTTAAATTTCTGGAGGCCTCCAAAAATTCAAAAAAAATAAAACATAAGTAGTTTCCTGGGTTCTCCCTGGGCCAGTTCCAGGATATTTTAAAAAATTCAATAATTCAATTAATTTAAACAATTCAAATAATTTAAATATTTATATTTTTTTTCAATTTTTTTAAATTTCTGGAGGCCTCCAACAATTTTTAAAAAAAAATACAAAAAAATAAAAATAAAAATATAAATAGTGTCCTGGGCTCTCCCTGGGCTAGTTCCATTATATTTGAAAAATTTAGAAAATTCAATAATTTAAAAAAATATTTGATGGTTTTAAATTAATTATATTTTTTTTTATTGTTTTTTAAATTTGTGGAGGCCTCCAGAAACTTACAAAATTTAAAAAATATATATAAATATTTGAAGTATTTGAATTGTTTATTTTGTTTTTGGTATTATTATTTTTTTTACATTTTTGGAGGCCTCCAGAAATTAAAAAAAATATAACAAAAATAAATATTTTTTTTTTGTTTTCTTTTTTTTTTTTTAAATAATTGAATTTTTCATTTTTTTTCAATATCCTGGAACTGGCCCAGGGAGAACCCAGGAAACTATTTTTTTTTTGAATTTTTGGAGGCCTCCAGAAATTTAAATAATTTAAAACAAATATACATATTTAAATTATTTCAATTTTTTAAATTATTTGAATTTTTTAGTTTTTTTAAATATCCTGGAACTGGCCCAGGGAGAACCCACGAAACTATTTATATTTTTTAATTTTTCTATATTTTTGGAGGCCTCCAGAAATAAATAAAAAAAATATTTAAATTATTTGAATTGTTTAAATTATTTTAATTTTTGATTTTTTTTTTTTTTTTATTATTATTTTTGAACTGGCCCAGGGAAAACCCAGGAAACTATTTATATGTTTTATTTTTTTAAATTTTTTGGAGGCCTCCAGAAATTTAAAAAAATATACAAAAATATAAAATATTTAAATTATTTGAATTGTTTAAATTAATTGAGTTTTTTATTTTTTAAATTTTTGGAGGCCTCCAGAAATTTGAAAAATAAAAAATAAAAATATTTAAATTATTTGATTTTTTCCAATTATTTGAATTTTTCATATATTTTTTAAATATCCTGGAACTGGCCCAGGGAAAACCCAGGAAACTATTTATATGTTTTATTTTTTGGAATTTTTTGGAGGCCTCCAGAAATTTAAAAAAATATAAAAAAATATAAAATATTTGAATTATTTGAATTGTTTAAATTAATTGAGTTTTTTTTTTTTTTTTTTTTTATATTTTTAAGTTTTTGGAGGCCTCCAGAAATTTGAAAAATAAAAAATAAAAATATTTAAATTATTTGATGTTTTCCAACTATTTGAATTTTTCATTTTTTTTTTAAATATCCTGGAACTGGCCCAGGGAGAGCCCAGGAACCTATTTATAGTTTTTTTTTTTTTTTAAAAAAAAAAAAAAAAAAAAAAATGGAGGCCTCCTGAAATTTTAAAAAATATATATAAATATTTAAATTAGTTGAAGTGTTTAAACTATTTGATTTTTTCAATGTTTTTAAATTTTTGGAGGCCTCCAGAAATTTAAATTTAAAAAAATATAAATATTTAATTTATTTGATTTTTTTTTTTAAAAAAAATATTTGATTTTTTTTTAATTTTTTTAAGTATCCTGGAACTGGCCCAGGGAGAACCCAGGAAACTATTTATATTTTTTTTATTTTTATTTTTTTAAACTTTTGGAGGCCTCCGGAAATTTAAAAAAGTTCAAAAATACAAATATTTATATTAATTGAATTTTTCAAATTATTTGAATTTTTTAAATATCCTGGAACTAGCCCAGGGAGAACCCACGAAACTATTTATATGTTTTTTTTTTTTTTTTGGAGGCCTCCAGAAACTTTTTTTTAAAAAATAAAGAAACATAATTAAATTATTCGTTTTTTTTTTTTTTTTTTTTTTTTTTTTTTTTTTTTTAAATATTTGTTTCTTTTTTTTTTAAAAATTTTTTTGGAGGCCTCAGAAATTTTAAAAATGAAATAAAAAATTTTAAATTATTTGAGTTTTTTTTTTTTTTTTTTTTTTTTTTTTTTTTTTAATACTTGTTTGTTTTACAAGTTTTTTAAATATCCTGGAACTGGCCTAGGGAGAACCGAGGAAACTATCTAGTTTTACTAAAAAAAATGGAGGCCTTCAGAAATTTTAAAAAATAAAATAAAAATCATTGTTTTTTTTTTTGATTTATTTGTTTGTTTATTTATTTATTTATTTTAATATCCTGGAACTGGCCCAGGGAGAACCCGGGAAACTATTATTCAGGGCCTTGGGCGACACATAGGCCCAATTCTTCCCTCTTACCCCCCCCCCCCCGCGGCCAACCTGCGACAGGTGGTGCACTGCGGGCCGGTGGGCGCTGGCCACGCCGTGAAGGCCGTGAACAACGCGCTGAACGCGGCTTGAAGATGGCTGGGACGGGGGACGGCCCTCTTTCCGGGAAGCTTCGGGCCTCTTTCGTCTTTCTATGAGCCAATCTGCGGATGCAGCTGCCAGCCAATTTATTCCAAGCCCTTCGTGGCAAACGCCCTTGCGCTTTGGCCAAATTCTTCACTCCAATCCAGTTCCAACAACGAGTGAAGTCCATGAAGGACACACAGCGGCATCTTCAGATCATTTGAGTACTGGCGCATGTGAGGCCATCATCGCTTCCATGGTCCCTAATTGACTCAAGCAGGAAGGATTCCGTGGTGCTGGTGAGGGACTTCGAGTGGTATTGGCCAATGCCTTTTTCCCTATCAGCATTGTGTGAAGGATCCAAATTGCACAACCGCGGCCATCTTGTAGAAGGCACAGCCTCGGGCACCACCACTTCCTTGGAAACGGATTTACATCCATTCCAGGTGCGCTGCTTGCGAGCTGTTCTTGCAAGCTGTCGTGGACTCATTTTGGATTCGGGCCCACACCCCAAGACCCCAAACCCAAAGCTTCCCAACCTCATGTCTTTCTGGGCCCTTGAGTTCCGTGGCGTTGGGTGTCCCGTCTCCCGTCTCCCTTCACGCGCGGCGTTTGAGGTGAGCCACCTGATGCTGGGCGCGGAGGGGCTGCTGGCGCTGCAGCGGCTGGGCGTGGACCCCGCGGTGGCGCTGGAGGCCATCAACGGCGCCTCGGCTTCGATCGCCTCCGCTCCGTCGGCCGGATCCAATCCGGGCGGTTGGGTGGTTGGGAATCCGTCGATCCGTGGATCCGATCCGGACATGGTTTCCTCAAGAGTGGGGATCAAGGTAAAAGATCCGGGCGGTTGGCGGGGGCGGAGGTGAGGAGCGCCCTCAAATCCAACTTTTGGTGAAGGGAAGTAAAAGAGAATCTGGTGAAAGAGCTGCGGAGATCCGGCTTCATTGTTGAAGCATTCCGGGTCCATAGCAACAGGCTTTGATGACTCGGGAGCTTGGGGAAGCGAGAGAGCCAAAGTGCATTCCATTCAACTTTTGGTGAATTTGGGGAGTCAGGTAGAGGTTTAAGAGAGGAAGTCAATGATTTGTGGGCTGGGGCAGCTTGCTTCACGCTGGCGATGTTGTTTTTTTTGATTGCTTGTGGAGGAGTAAATGTGGAGCGAGGATCTCTCAGGTGGAGTTGAGTCCACAGGTGTCGGAACCTGCCTGGACAGGTGTTGGAATGCTGCCGGGGCAGATGTTGGAAATGGTTTCTGGTTGGTTTAGGCATGGTTTTGGGTCGGTTTAGGGTTGGTTTAGGGTCGGTTTGGGGTCGGTTTAGGGATGGTTTAGGCTTGGTTTAGGGTTGGTGTAGGGTTGGTGTAGGGTTGGTTTAGGGTTCGTTTAAGGGGTGGCTTAGGGTTGGCTTAGGGGTTGGCTGAGGGTTGGTTTGAGGGTTGGTTTAGGGTTTTTTGGGTTGGTTTAGGGTTGGTTTGGGGCTTGGTTCAGAGTCGGCTTAGGGTTGGTTTAGGGTTGGTTTAGGGTCGGTTTAGGGTTGGCTTGGGGTTGGCTTAGGGTTGGTTTGAGGGTTGGTTTAGGGTTGGTTTAGGGTTGGTTTAGGGTTGGTTTGGGGTTGGTTTAGGGTTCGTTTAAGGGGTGGCTTAGGGTTGGCTTAGGGTTGGCAGGGGGTTGGCTGAGGGTTGGTTTGAGGGTTGGTTTAGGGTCGGTTTAGGGTTGGTTTAGGGTTGGTTTTGGGTTGGTTTAGGGTTGGTTTGAGGCTTGGTTTAGGGTCGGTTTAGGGTTGGTTTAGAGTTGGTTTAGGGTTGGTTTGGGGTCGGTTTAGGGTTGGCTTGGGGTTGGCTTGGGGTTGGTTTGAGGGTTGGTTTGAGGGTTGGCGTAGGGTGGGTTTAGGGTTGGTTTTGGGTGTCGGCATGGTTTTAGGGGAGGTTTAGGGTAGGGTTGGTTTAGGGTCGGTTTAGGGTTCGTTTTGGGTTGGTTTAGGGTCGGTTTAGGGTTTGTTTAAAGTCGGTTTGGGGTCGGTTTAGGGTTGGTTTAGAGTCAGTTTAGGGTTGGTTTAGGGTCGTTTTAGGGTCGGTTTAGAGTTGGTTTTGGGTTGGCTTAGGGTTGGTTTGGGGTTGGTTTAGGCTTGGTTTAGGGTCGGTTTAGGGTTAGGGTTGGTTTGAGGGTTGGTTTAGGGTTGGTTTAGGGTTGGTTTAGGGTTGGTGGGTGTCGGCAGATTCCCTCCCCGTCTCCCTCCCCGTCTCCCTCCCCATCGCTCTCCGTCGCTCCCGTCTCCCTCCCTGCCGCGTCGCTGCCCGTCGCTCCCCGTCGCTCCCCGTCGCTCCCCGTCGCTTCCCGTCGCTCCCCATCGCTCCCATCGCTCCCTGCGCTCCCCGTCTCCCTCCCCGTCTCCCTCCCCGTCTCCCTCCCCGTCTCCCTCCCCGTCTCCCTCCCCATCGCTCTCCGTCGCTCTCCGTCGCTCCCCGTCTCCCTCCCTGCCCCGTCGCTCCCCGTCGCTCCCCGTCGCTCCCCGTCGCTCCCCGTCGCTCCCCGTCGCTCCCCGTCGCTCTCCGTCGCCCCCCGTCGCTCCCCGTCTCCCTCCCTGCCGGTCGCTCCCCGTCGCTCCCCGTCGCTCCCCGTCGCTCCCCGTCGCTCCCCGTCGCTCTCCGTTGTGCCTGTCGCTCCCCGTCGCTCCCCGTCGCTCTTCGTCTCCCTCCCTGCCCGTCGCTCCCCGTCGCTCCCTGTCGCTCCCCGTCGCCGTCGCCTTCCGTCGCTCCCCGTCGCTCCCCGTCGCTCTCCGTCGCTCTCCGTCTCCCTCCCTGCCCGTCGCTCCCCGTCGCTCCCCGTCGCTTCCAGTCGCTCCCCGTCGCTCCCCGTCGCTCCCCGTCGCTCCCTGTCGCTCCCCGTCGCTCCCCGTCGCTCCCCGTCGCTCCCCGTCGCTCTCCGTCGCCCCCCGTCGCTCCTCGTCGCCTTCCGTCGCTCCCCGTCGCTCCCCGTCGCTCCCCGTCGCTCCCCGTCGCTCCCCGTCGCTCCCCGTCTCCCTCCCTGCCCGTCGCTCCCCGTCGCTCCCTGTCGCTCCCCGTCGCTTCCCGTCGCTCCCCGTCGCTCCCCGTCTCCCTCCCTGCCGGTCGCTCCCCGTCGCTCCCCGTCGCTCTTCGTCGCTCCCCGTCGCTCCCGTCGCTCCCCGTCGCTCTCCGTCGTTCCCCGTCGCTCCCCGTCTCCCTCCCTGCACGTCGCTCCCCCTCGCTCCCCGTTCTCCTTCCCTGCCCGTCGCTCTCCGTCGCTCCCCCTCGCTCCCCGTCGCTGCCCGTCTCTCGCTCCCCGTCGCTCCCCGTTGCTCCCCGGCGCTCCCCGTCGCTCCCCGTCGCTCCCCGTCGCTCTCCGTCGCTCCCCGTCGCTCCCCGTCGCTCTCCGTCGCTCCCCGTCGCTCCCCGTCTCCCTCCCTGCCCGTCGCTCCCCGTCGCTCTCCGTCGCTCCCCGTCGCTCCCCGTCGCTCCCCGTCGCTCCCCATCTCCCTCCCTGCCCGTCGCTCCTTGTCGCTCCCCGTCGCCCCCGTCGCTCCCTGTCTCCCTTCCTGCCCGTCGCTCCCCGTCGCTCCCCGTCGCTCCCCGTCGCTCCCCGTCGCTCCCCGTCGCTCCCCGTCGCTCCCCGTCGCCCTCCCTGCCCGTCGCTCCCCGTCGCTGCCCGTCTCTCGCTGAGTAAACCCGTGCAAATGTTACTACCCATGACACGCAACTAGCTTCCAACACCCACTTCATGCGGATTCCAACTTACACACCGCAAGATCTTAACAGCAGCTTCCAGGATTCCAACTCCCAAATTCCAACTCCACCCCCACCCCTTGTGGAGGCCCATGGCTTCTTTGGTCGTTCCAGATTTGAGGCCTCGTCAAGTTGCAATCGCACTCTTTCTGTCAGTTGTTGCATTCAATGTCTTTTGGACCAGTTCCCAGCTTCATGTTTTGTTCGGCGCCATTCTTTCTTGCTGTAGGAGGTTGATTGGTCGGAGCTTGCTTCTTTCCACGGAGGGAAGTTGCAGAAGCTGTTGTTTCTCAATGCTTCCTAACGTTCTGCTCTCACAGCCTAAAGACAAATGGGCTAAACGGGAGACAGAAGGTTGAAGGTGCTAGCACATTATTGCCACGATCCTCAGCCCCCAATGACAGCTATTGGGATGCCAACTTAAAGTCTTAAAGGCAACGATTTGGGGCATCACTTTCGGATCCCTCTGGATTCAAGGATGGCAGTTTTATCTGTTGGTGCCAATGCCACTTGCAAATCATGTTGGATTCAGAAGGTTGCTTGTCCGTGGCCGTTCGGGCTCACTGCCTACTGTCGCATCACTGTCCAGTGCCCACGTTCTCACCGTTGGAGAACCCATCGTAGATACCAAACAGCACTTTTTCGTGGCAGTCACCGGGATCGACAAAGGGCCGTAATGGTTTCTCGGTTGTCTTTGCTCAATTGCGGCGCTTCACCGCTAGATGGCTGATGATCACCTTGGAAACATTCCCAAGGGAACTTGCAAGTTCCCAGCTTGCAGTGGCTTGGGCCTCGTTGTTGCAACTGCTCGTGGTCACGTGGCCGCGATGTCCCCAACCGCCGCTTGTGCCAGCAGTTTTGTGGCAGCTTTGCGGTGCAGAGGCCGCGGCAGCTGTGAGCCCGCGCATGCTGGCGGGACTGCGTTTGTACTTACGGGTTGCTCGGGCGTCGCATTGGTCCCAAGTGCCATGCTGCATGCATACCTTGCCCCGACTTACGCGGCTTAGCTCGGGCTGTTTCGTGCCTATAGGGGGAGAAAAAGCACCGCTTCGCGATTAAGGCTCGAGCGGCCGGAGTATGCAGACGGAGCAGCGGTTGCCGCAGGACTTCTCCCGATGTTCGGACCCATCAAAACTCGAGAGATGTCGGGCACATGGACCTCGCTTTGTGCGCATGACCTGTTTAAAGCCGGTCGCTTGTATTGTTCTGACATCGTGCACCTTGTTTGAGCAAGGCAAACTTGTGACTCTCCTTGTTTGAGTACGCAACCATCTTTTTGCGCGCCATTTGGGGAAGCAAATCGAAGAAAGAAAGTACCAGCATCTTCGCCGGAAGTTGGGCCAAGCCTTCCGTGATCGTTGCCGCGCAATGCTTGTCACAGCCGTGCGAAGCCTCATGGAGCTGCAGCTGGAAGCTGTTCCTGGGAATAAAATGGGACAACCAGTGCATAAAGGCGATCACAACTGCGCAATCTCAGCTGCAAAGTGCGTGTTGCAGATGTTTGTCATGCCACATCATCATGGCAACTTTTTGGACACACGGGATTCTGATCCTGTGAGGAAACGGGCTCGGCCGAGCATGTTGCTGCGCAATTTCCGTGCGCAAACGCGTCTTTCAATGATCCTGCAACATTTCTCGGTTTTCCCGAATATTTGATGCAAATCATTGGCTGGAGTTTAGAACTGCAACTTGTTTTGGTACCAAAGGCTTCGAAGAAACCATGCCAGCATTGGCCAGGCCTCATCCCTGCCATGTTGCCAGTGGAGCATCGGCCTTTCACAACCAAAGGTGATATATCATTGTGTCGGGGCACAGCAACGCTAAGCTCGAAGCACATGTGTTCCTTGCAAATATCCACATGTCCACACTACTGTGCGTCCAAAATAGGGGTTTACGGAACCAAGGACTAAAACCTGCGGTCGCCTGGTGGTTTAATTTCGACACACACCCACATGTTTGATGGCTGGGTGGTTCTTTTGGGGCCAGCTTGTTGACAGGAGGTTCTCACTCGCCGATTCAGTGCCTTGGCCTTTGGATCAATTTTGGGGCATTGGCCGATGCAACCGTTTCAGTCGATTGCATGCTGAAGTAAACACGGTCTTGCACATTGGTTGATAAGGTTACAACTCCTCTATGATGATTAGTTTGGGAACTGATGTTGACCCCAGCTTAGTCAACGCCAGTCTAGTAATGGAGGGTGTCCCTGGGTGTAGGGGGGAATCATCACTCTTGGAGGGGATTGCTGTGGTGTCAGAAGGCATAAATACTTGCCATCCACAAGATGAGGAGTCGATTGACTGAGCAGCATGTGACCTGCGGGACACTTGTGGGCACAACTAAGCACGCCATGGCTCGAGGAGTTGAGCCTCCTGTTGATGTGTGGGTGTGTTGGTTTTCAAAGGTCCGAGTCCT